TGTCCCTTCACACATACACATCGGAAGATAGCGAGGAACGTGCGCCCGGTGCACTACAGACTGCTGGGGCTGGGCAGGCAGGCGAGTCCGAGAGTCACCGCACCTGCTGTCGGCTGCTGGTCAGCTCAGCCACTGTTGTTGACGTTTGAAAGAAATTCAAAGTGACATGTTAACTCAAAATCAGATGCGCTCTGCGCTCCATTATTTTTGAAAGCCAGAACCTCACATTTTCGACCTTATTTTTTTTTTGGGGGGGGGGATTTACGTCCCCTTGTGAAAGTACCAGTGAATTGGGGGAGATGACACGACCGGGGTCTCGGGGTCTGGTGCTCTCACGTTCTCTGCCTATGCTTGCATCCCTCCGTTCTTTAGTTCCTCTCTCATTTCTCGCCTTCTTCTCCCCGCCCTGTCTGTCTGCTTCTTTCGCTTTTTTCTGGTTTTGACATCCAATAATATGATTCCCTACCAAGCAGACCCACCGCCATCCGCCAACCCCATTGCATATCAGATGCGTAGATGAATGCGAAGAGGGTTGAGGAGTTCGACTCAAATCTCTCGTGACGTGATGCACACGCTCAGGCGAGCGTACAGAAATCGTCAGCATGTTATGTTCACGTTCGCTCGAACACTTTCTATGGTCGAGCAAACGGTGGGGAGCGAGGGACGTTGATGGCAGGCGAAAATACCGTGACGATTTTATTACACCAGCATAACGGCGGAAATTAGGATAGCGTGGCGTCACTCGAGCTGTCACTTTTGGTCGGAGGGTGATTTCATTCAACGGATCTACCCGAGAGGCTTTTTATGGAAATGACTAAATGCTTGTAATAATGAAATTTGTCGTGTTTTATTTCTTTAGCTAGTATGCGCTTCGAGTAGTTCCCAAAGAAGCTTACTGAAAGTGTATAGCTTCTAACCTTTACCGTTACCGTATTAATTCACTACAAGACAATTAGCAAGCACCCATGTAAGACATTGTCCTTTTCAACGATTTTGTACGTAGGGTGATTCAGAGAAGATTCTGTGAGGGGCACTATGTAGCTTACTGATGCATATCACTGTAAATTACGGCGATGCCTCAAAATACAATTTCTAAGCGTAGACAGAGATGTTTCGAAAGCAAACTTAAAGCTGGATACCTTTAAAAGGCTGCAAAATGCCCTACAAAGGTGCATTGCGCGCTGTGTACTATGTGCAGCACTACAACGGTTTGGAGGACCGGCGGTGCGGGGGCGGGCCGGGCTGGCCCTTCGCCAGCCGGGCAGCAGCGGCGGTGGTGGCAGCTTCACAAAGCAAGCAGATGCGGTTACAAAGTCAGCAGAAACCAACGGGGCCCGTAATCCGGGGCATTTCTTTCGTTAACGACCCGACTGCTCGCTACCTGCTGCTTAAGACCGGGCCTTACCTGCTGGAGCGGCGGCCGTATAATGAGACAAAACGGATTAAAAGAGGGGGAAGGGGTGGGAGAGAAAGGGAAGAAGGGTGGACCAGAGAAAAATATACCGCGGACAAAGTAAACATTCTGCAAGATAGAAACGCCTGACGTTTCTAGGAAACGATCCAACAAAAATTAGTTTGGAACGCGTCGTCTTTGAACCGACATGCTGTAGAGGGCGGGTGGGTGCAGTGTAGTATGCGCAGGGTTTGTGTTTTGATGTGCGCACCACACCGTGGCTGAAGCCCTCTCACCACCGCACGGAGCTGTCGCTTTAATCATTAAATCGCGCACAACTCGACGGAGCGTGACACTCGTCGCGATCATCATTTCAAATGGAGAGTGTCTTCCCGCCGCGGCGTTTGGGTGACACGGCGGCGAGGCCCCGCGGGCCAGCTAGCCGAGCGGCTGTTCGGCGGGACCAACTTTGTCATCAGGAAGTGCGCGCCGCGCGGTCTGCCTCGGATGAATTGGGGGACCGGTAATGGCGGAAGGGGGAGGGGGGTGACGACGTTGGCTCGACGTGAACGACAAGATGTGCCTTTCGGAGCCCCCGGGCTTCTTCCCTTTTAGCTTGGAGGGGGAGGGGGCTTCGCGCGTGATGCCCGCCTGGTCAACAAGAAGGACGCGTTCTCCGAGAGGGGAAGGAGTTTGTCCGTCAAGCAGTGTGACCATGATAGAAAAAAAATGACACAAAGTTTTCTGATATCCTTCTCGTCGAAAAGGCCGCGCACCCTCAGCCTCAGCCCCCTCGATGTAGTCCGCCCCCCACCACCGCTGTTCGTCGCTCTCAGTCGCAGCAGGGGGTCTCTTTTGAAGAAGTTCCATTGCCTCCCGTTGCTGACGTGGGCCTTCCCTCTGCAGTCCCCGCTTGCCTCGGCTGCCGGGGACTCTCCCAATTAAATTAAATGGACTCTCCCCCGACTCTGCTCCACCTGGGACTGTCTGCCGCGGCGGGGCGGGGGGTCTCCTCCGGTTTCCCCCCCGGGTCGGCGCCGTCCCCGTGCAGAAAGACACTCCAGGTCTGTCTTGTAGTCGTGCGCCGCTATCTCGGCCGTTTGTGTCGTCCCATCTACATTTCTCATACAATTTAGCACAATATTAACGAAAGACAATTTGTTTCAAATGTTTGCAAAAACATGAAATTCTTGATCTGAACAAGCAAACTAACAAACGCAAACAAACAAACAAACAAACAAACAAACTAACAAACTAACTAACAAACGTCAACAACAACAACAACAACAACAACACAACGATGACAACGACTGCACGGTTCAGACTGGCTACGACTGTCATTTATTGGATACGTTCTAGTTGAAAATCAGCCAACCAGAGGCCTCGAAAACCCACTAGAACGTATACTATAAATTACAATCCAGTCTGAACCGTGCAGACGACGACAACAGACAACAGCGCGGAACGCGGGTATACATAGAGATTTTCCAGAAAATACGTCCGTTTTTCTCAGATAAATTCGGAAAATTACGGAAGCTCGGCGCCTGCGAGACTCGGGGTAGGCCGTACCGCAGTGCATGCATGCAATGCGGGCAAGATGTTGCCTACCTGCCAGGCGATAAGCTTGCGCTAGCATAGGCTAAACTTATTAGGTTCGTAACAGCGAGTGTCGGACGTACCTTCTGGGTGACCCCTACCCTCGCAATGGCAGAGGGGCTCCCCCCCCAAAAAAAACCTTCTCTCTCTCTCTCTCTCTCTCTCTCTCTCTCTCTCTCTCTCTCTCTCTCTCTC